GAGTGATAAATAAGCTCTACTAAAATGTGATTCTTTTATGCCTAAACCATGCCAGAGAACACACTAGATACTTTATATCTTTATAAACACTCTCTCATGAAATTATTGCATCGTTGTATCTAAATCTTAAGACAATGCTTTTTCCCCACAGCAATTTGAAATTCCCTATTAAATATTTCTAATTTTAACAGAGCTTACTACATAATGGTATCTGTAATTCAGATCTATACTCAGGCCTTAAATGATTTCATTTTCCCGTTTCAGGGAGCCTGAATCCTAGATACTCTTCTGGCTCAAATGTTAATCAGGCTGCGTGCATCTCACTGACACAGCATCAGTGCATCCGTGATGGGGCTTCCCTTCTCGTTGCAGGGTTCGCATTGCTCAAGACGTGTTGTATTAGATGAGAAGGTGGGCAGACTAAAAGTATACAAGGAAGACTTAAGTAGTAAAATAACAGTATCACCCCTCAAAAGCCATGCATATGGCTACAGTGCTGTACTGCAGATGTGAGAGCGGAACATTCTAAACTTTCCAACATAACTGAACATGGTGCATTTTTTTTTCTTACATGAAGGTGATAAGGAGATAGATATAACATGGCCGGAGACTGAAAATGGCATCATTTTGTGTAATTGAATCTGACAAATAAACCAAACCCGCCAAATTAGGTTCTTAGGTTAGCTGAGAAATATAATTTGTTTCATGATGAATTTCCATTCAAATATGAGAAAGGAGAGGGATTTTCATAAGCTGGAAAAATACAAATGTCATATTTCTGAAATAGGATTTACATAAGTACAAATTTTGGATTCCACAGAATATGGTACAGGGAAAGACAACATTCAAACATCGACTTTCACAGGAACTCCTAGGAATTAGCTTCTATGACCGTGGTCCATATTGATCCAGTTCTTTTTAATGAGGATAAATGACTGAGTTTACCTTCCATTTCCCCCAAGTCCACCTTCAGCCCGGGTTTCGTCCTTGCCTCCACAAAGCCTTTGCTGCCCTTTGACATCTGAGGCGGTACCTTGTCAGCAAGGTGGGCGAAAGACAGCCCCCGTAACCCATGTCATCAGAAAGAGGGTGCCCAAGTTTTGAAAGCCAGTGAAATCTGGTGTCCCCTGACTTATCCTATGCTGATTCTCCCTGATCAAACCAACTTTTCTCACCTCTTCGAATGCTCATCTCCAGCATCCTCTCAATGATGGCCCAAGCCCAAGAGACTTTAGGATCTATGCTTTAAAACAGTCACCCATTCCAGGTGCAGCAACGCGTTTGCTTGTTTCCGCCAGAACCCTGATCCTGTCTCCCACTCGTGTACAAATGCCTGGCGACTTACCCTCTTTTCCCACCCCCACTGAGTGGGCTGGCTTCCACACGACTCGGGGAGGCACGCAAAGCTCTCATCTCCAGGATCTCAACCACCTGCTCCCACACCCAAGCACCCTGCCCTTCTGACCATGGTTCATAACAAGCGTCCATTCCTCTGCACATTATTACCTAGTGTTTTAAACCAAGGAGATCGTTTCTCCTGCAAAACCACTTTTCAAAATCCATCCTGAACACCATCGTGTATGTAAAGTTTTGCCCAACTCACTGACCGGCTAGGTCCTGATCTGATTTCCAAGGTGACTTACATTCACACCCTATTATATCCTTGATCCTGGGAGTTTGTGTTTGTATGTGAGTCTTTCCAGTCACGTCTTTATCAGTGACTTGTACAAAAGACATAATGCTCACCTAGTTAATGTTCTGTAAGAGACGTTTTGGAATTGTCAGATTGCTGGTGGAAAATATTTTACATAATCAATAACTAAATATCAGAATATAGCTCTTTGTATAAGGTCATCTTTCTCTACTGTACTCCGCACCCCAAGTAAGATGAGATGGAAGATACTCATACCTAGATTCAATGAGTACAGCTTAGTATACGCCATATTTAGGAGGCAGTTTATAGAAAATGTATCTTTCCATGTATCATCTATCCATCCCTGCAGTGAGTTGAGAGGAAAGTAAACCTATATCTATTTATCTATGTATCCATTAATCGATCTATCCCTCCATTGAGGTAGAAGAAAAAGAAACATCTATCAATCTATACCATCTATCTACTTCTCTACTAAGGCAGAAAGCAAACCCCTAGTAAGTGATTTTCTTTTTATTTCAAAACAGCCCAGTTCAGCTTTAATTTAAAACACTTAGGGTTTAGGGGCACCTGAGTGGCTCAGTTTGTTGGGCGGCGGCCAACTTCGGCTCAGGAAATGATCTCACAGTTTGTGGGTTCGAGCCCAGTGTCGGGCTCTGTGCTGACAGCCAACTCAGAGCCTGGGGCCTGTTTCAGATTCTGTCTCCCTCTCTCTGTGCCCCTCCCCTGCTCACGCTGTCTTTGTCTCTCAGAAATAAATAAAACACCTTTAAAAATTAAGAAAAAAAAAACCCTCAGGTTTATTAAAGTACTCATAGAAATGTTATTAAATGTGCTTTTCTCATCTGAACCCACTGATGTCTAGGTGTGCCTGTAACACTGTGAGTCATGGGGAAGCTTCTGGTCTATGATGGTACCCTTTCTCTTCTGTACTATGGACCTACAATCTATTATTTTAATTTTTTAGTGGAGCAGAAAGAAATGAGGTTTCTAGCTAGAGTTTTAACATAGTCTAATTTAAAAGTCTTTATCAGATAGCAATTGTAGCTCTCTGTTTAAACAAGTAGGGTACTGGGGCGCCTAGGTGGCTCAGTCGGTTAAGCATCCGACTTCGACTTAGGACCTAGGTCACAATCTCACAGTGAGTTTGAGGCCTGTGTCAGGCTTTGTGCTGTCAGTTCAGAGCCTGGAGCCCATTTCAGATTCATGTCTCCCTCTCTCACTGCCCCATCCCATCTCAAGTTCTGTCTCTCTCGCCTTCAAAAATAAACATTAAAAAAATAAAAAATAAATAAACCAGTAAGGTATTATGTTATTCTGAACATGCCAAGAAAGAGTTTAAATAGCCACTAAATTGAGGGTTTAAGTTTTAATTATATTATGGTCAAAACTGGATGGAAATAGACAACAGGCTGCATATATTTTTCACCAGGTTTTATGTGATACATATATTATCTCTTAATTAAAAATTTAAAGGCAATTTAATACTCAATGATATCATATGTGGAACAGGAGAAATTAACAGAGGACCATGGGGGAGGGGAAGGGGAAAAAATAGTTAAGGAGAGGGAGGGAGGCAAACCATAAGAGACTTAAATACTGAGAACAAACGGAGGGCTGATGGGGGTGGGGGGAGGGGAAGGGGGTGATGGGCATGGAAGAGGGCACTTGTGGGGATGAGCACTGGGTGTTATATGGAAACCAACTTGACAATAAAACTATAAAATTTTTTGCCACAGGTATAGCTATTTAAATATGATTTTGCCTTAGGTATAGCTATTAAAATATTTTAATGACTTAAAAAAAGAATATAAGATTTCTTCTTGAAGTGATTGTAATGTTCTGGACTTGACTGTCATTCTGCTCGCTATCCAGAAATATATAAAAAATCACTGAGTTATGCATTTTAAATAGGTGAATTGTATCATTTTATTGGAATCGTATCACAATAAAGTTATTTCACAAAACAAAAAAATAATAATGACAGAAGACAGAAATAGTAGTACTATTCTGTCTTCCATAAAAGTAGTGTAATGATAACTATATGTAAAAACGCTTTAAACACTGAGAAGGAACTGCCCTATGTTGTGCATTGAGGCATGGTGCTGGGGCATCCCTGGGCTTCTGACATGGATCTTATGTCTGATTCTACCATCCTTTCACTCTGGGGAATGCGCAGATCGAGAACCTCTCTGGTCCTCAGTGCCCTGGTCTGTCAAGTGGGGAGAAGCAAACCATGCAAGGGAGTGAGTACTAAAGCAGCCGGGACAGGTGCCTGGGTGGCTTGGTTGGTTGGGCATCCAATTTTCGCTCAAATCATGATCTCACGGTTTGTGGGTTCCAGCCCCGTGTCGGGCTCTGTGCTGACAGCTCGGAGTCTGGAGCCTGCTTCAGATTCTGTGTCTCCCTCTCTCTCTGCTCTCCCCTACCCTTCTAAAATACATAAATATTTTTTAAAAAACACAAACAAACAAACAAAAAAAAGAGGCTCAGCATCATTTAAAAAATAAAGCAGCAGGAACAAAAAGATACCCAAAAAATATCAAAAAATCGATCAATTCTTATTGCTAATTTTATCATAACTTTTGTCTTCATCAACTTTACAAATATGATCCTTGAAAGATGATCTATATGAACAAAATGTAGTAAGTCATTTAGGACCTCCAGTATAATCCTATTCTTATGTGATAAAAAGGTCTTTTAAAAACTGTCAGGTTTATCTGGATAACTTTGGGCAACACATACTATGAACAATAAGTACTAAGGTTTGGTTTTGTTGCTTGAAACAACTCCACTTTATGAAATGATAGAAAACTTGCATTAATAAAGTATATCATTAAAAAGATATTTTAAAAATGATATAAACATATAGCCTGACAAATGCCATTTAACTTACAACACTGACTCTGTGACAAAGCAAATGTCACCACTTCAGGTATTTTGTATTTTTATTTTTATTTTTAAAGTTTATTTATCTATTGAGGGGGGAGGCAGCGAAAGAGGGAGAGAGAGAGAGAATCCCAAGCAGACTCCATGCTGTCAGCACAGAGTCCAACACAGGCCCGAACTCATGAACTGTGAGATCAATCCCTGAGCTGAGATCAAGAGATGCTTAACCTACTGAGCCACTCAGGTGTCCCGCTTTGTATTTTCAAAATCAGAGACGTGTATTTATTTCCCCCATGCAGAATCTCAAAAAAAATCACACACAAAATGAAAACAAAAATAAATAAAACAAGATACTATCCTGGTTCCAATCCCCAAAATAAAAGTATTATACATTTTAGAGTTATTTCAATATTTTAACGACAAAGAAAAATGTCAAAATGAACTATTATGTGGCAGATTGAATTTACTCTACAACTTTGTGTTTCCCTGTGACATCCATGTGCTCAAACAAGAATATAAGAACTTGATGGTTCTTTGCGGGCAGGCACCGAGTTGTGCTGGGGTAAGAAGCTGTGCGGTCCTGAAGGAGCTTTCGTCTTCCCTTTGTTCTTTACTAGGTCTGTGAGGTCTCTGGGTCACATTTCTTCCAGCTTTTATTATCTTGGGCTTTTGAGGTCAAACGTGAGAATGTAGTGACATTAAGCTATCAAGTATCTCTAAGAAAAGTCAATAAAGCAATTGACAATAATTGTTATAGAAACCTCTTAAAATAACTTCAATCTGGATTTCCTCAACATTCCTTCTTGAATCATGAAGTAACTCTGATCTTACAAAATAATCAATATCAGCAACACTGAAGCAAAGTGGACAGCCCTTCGTGTAGGTAGTCTTCTCTCCAGCACCCATAATTATGCAAACTTCCATAATCCTAGACTTAGGAGGGAGAGTTGGCACACAGGTGCTATTTGCCATAATTATTAATAGACTAGAGAAGGAAAGGAAGAAAGATTTCTTTTAATCTGACGTAACTTCTTAAGTTTTAAGTATCTAGCAGTGAACTATGCTTCTCACACAAAGATTATAATTTCTAATAGCAAAGGCACGCATACCAAATGTATAATATTATTCGCATTTCATTGCACATACATGGCTGAAATATTTTTGGAAAAACATAATTTGTTTTCTATTATCACAGCCTTTGTACCAATACCATCAAACTTTGTAAGTTCTATTTCCTCTAAAATTAACGTAATTGCCATTATTATAAGTAGAAACATAAAATTCAAAGACAAGTTGACTTGTGACTGATTTCTATTTGAGGAGAAATAGCTTTTAAAGCCTTGTTGGTTTAGGCATCCTTGTACGAGAGTATTTGCAACATGCTTTCCATAAAACAATTACTGGGAGCAGACGTCACGCGTTTTCCGTGTCATACATAGCGAGAGATCAACATCCATCTCAAAGCAACAGACAACAGTGCAGAGTCTTAAGGAATTTGGTAAAAACAACCAAACAAAAAACTGTGAGAAAAAATGCTAAGGGGGAGAGGGAAGAGATATATATACCTGTTTCCACGTGTATTTAAGTCTTATGTGATAAAGGAGTTGAATGACTCCGTGCGACTCCTTCAGGCACAAGTAAGGGCACACCCACGCACAAGTCACAGGACTACTACGAACGTGGGGTTAGTACACAGAGCCGTACATCCTCCCTACAGGGAATCACAAAATCCTGGAACAGCACAGGAAGGGATACTCAAAGAGGAACCGGTGACTCTCGTCCAAGGGCTCTGAATAACGAACTTCTGCATTAGGTACAGAATTTGGTTCCTGAGATTGGGTGATTACAAACACGGTCCCCAGCTGTCTAGATGATAAGCACCGTGAAGTCAGAAGCAATGTATGGTCTTATTAATCACTCTGTCCCCTGAATTTTTCTGTCCAATACCTGCGACAAAATGAAATTGCCTAAACGTTTCTTCGATGAATGACGCACATGCATTCACTTTGGGAGGGTAGTCTGGAATTCCCGTGCAGTTAACGGACTAGTGTGGTTGTCATTTTCAAAAACTAAAAGTCACATGGGAAAAAATAGAGGGAGATGAACCTAGAAACATATACTATTGAGAACAAACTGATGGTTACCAGAGGGAGATGGGTGAGGATGGGCTAGACGGGGGACAGCCATCAGGGAGACATTTGTGATGAGCACTGGTGGTGTATGTAATTGACGATTCTCTAAATTCTACACCTGAAACTAAAAAAAAAAAATTAAAATTTTTTAAAAATCATGTGGATTTTCTCTGTGATTTAATCTTATCATTTCATCTTTTATATCCTTCCAATGATGTCACAAAGAAGACAAAACAGTGCGTGAAACCTAAAATATATAGAATGCTTGGGCAAGCAAAAGGAACTCGCACTATCCTGTAGTTATTAAAGGTAACAGTGTACCAAGAAATATGTATTATTTCTTTGAAGCTCCAATATTGGGTAGGATTTTATTGTTTTTAGTCCTTTTTTGATAGAATATTCTGATATTACTGAGGAAAAAAATCACCCTTACTGGAGTGTAAAACTGCTGAGGGCAGGGACTTTATCTCATTCACTTTGGACCCACTGCTACTATCACAGGACTTGACATGTGGATGGTACTCAATAAAGGTAATTCAGAATTTGAATTAATTTCAATGATATATGTGAAATTGACTTGAACTGAAAATACAATTTACTTCTATGAAAGAGTTATTTTTCCCAGTTTGGGTTCTAGAACTCTATCTGGTGCTTCAGTGGGATGTGCTAGTTTGGCAACCAGTATAAAATCATAGAATGTACTGACCAACTGAAACCCACAGAGCTTATTCCTGCCCAGTATAGTGAGGAATCAAAAAGTCTCTTCCGTCAAACTTGAGACGGAAAAAATCTTTGCTAATTTTGTGCCTCCACAGCTCCTTCATATGACTCTAAGTGTGCTCTATCCAGGAATAACACCACAGATACCTGCCCCATAACCAGAACCCTTTATGGGGACAGGCTTGTTGCATATGCATATACTTACTTTTTTGTCAGCAAGAGATTTAAAAAGAGAAAGTTAAGGTTCTAGGTCATGGTGTGGCTTCCTCTGAACTGAATACAGCAATCAGGAGCACCTGATATTCCTGACATGTCAACAAGAGACATCTCACATAATCAACCTGGCTTCCAGAAAAGGGTTTTCACCAGTGTCTGTTTCCTGAAGAAAAAGGGATAGTACTTTTCTTAAAAGGGGGTGCCTGGGTGGCTCAGTTGGTTGAATGTCTGATTTTCATTTTGGCTCAGGTCATGAGATCAAGCCCTGCATCAGATCCTGTGCTAAGCGTGGAGCCTGCTTAACATTCCCTCCCTCTTTCTCTCTCTCTCTCTCTCTCTCTCTGTCCTTCTGTCGCTCCATCTCTGTCTCTCTCTCACCCTTTGCTCCTCTCCCCAACTTGTGCTCTTGCTCTCTCCCTCCCTCTTTCTAAAATAAACAAACAAAACAAAATAAATCCAAGGCAAAGAGAAGTTTTGGATTTTCCTATCTGGACAGGGTTTGTTTTGTTTTGTTTGTTTGTTTTTCTTTTCCCCAAGAGCTGTCTGGAGGGCTTAGCATGGCAGCCAATGTTTAGCTGCAGTATTAAAAGGGTTCCCTTGATTATTTCCAATTAGCATATTTGGAATCTAGATATAGTCAAAGGTTTTGACAGAAGTTTAGAAGATTCTACGTACACAATGTACACATCATTAGATGCTGAAGAATGACCACCATAGGAAAATGATTTCAAGAAAAATCAACAGAGAGGCAAGACCATTCGCTCTGTGTGATTCTTCAGGAAAAGACCCAAGTCAACCTTCTACGGTTTTGTTGTGTAACAAGTAAACATTGATATAGATTTCTTTCACTCGTTATATGGTAGCAGGATTGAGCAGTTAGAAGAGAAGGAGAAATACTGATTCAATTGAGAGACTTGTATAAAGACAGAGATTGGAGAAGAATGTCCTTAGTCTTCATTCTGGAACCCAAAACACGTGGCTAGGAGAAGGTGAATTTTTGAGCCTTGAGTTCCTTGTTAGGAAAATAGGAGATGATAAGACACAGTATTGAGCTATCTCCCACAGATGTTGTATGCCAGCAAGCATTCTAAGTGCTTTGCAACTATATAGACTTCCACATAAATACTAAATGTTAATGCTGATACCGTGGTTTGAAAAAAAAAATTATTAGACCGGATATTTATTCCAAAATTATAGAAAGTGAACTCATAAAATGGATGCTTTTCCTATGGCTCTCCTAGAAGCGTTCACATTTAGTGACAGAACTGGGAAAGGAGGTGTCTACCCTAAAGATACAATAGATACTTTTCCAGAAGACCCATGTAATGCTGATCATCAGTGTGACCTGAAGGTCCCAGTGAATTAAGTTGGACTCAAGGCACACATTGCTTTGAATAAACCAAGAGGACCTCTATTTTTCAAATGGGTTGCAAAAATATCAGAGGAAACATGCTCAGAGAGTAATTAATTTCAACTTACACTAATTAAAGGAAGTATCTGCTGTATGTCATTTAAGGAGAGAAGCGGCCGATAACTGAGTTATATGCATTAGAAATAATAAAGGAAAAAAGAAAAATATGCGCACACACACACACACACACACACACCATGCATGACATCTGCCTCCTGGCTGCAAGTGGCCGTATTGAATTAAAGCCACTCTGCTATAACCCTCTAAGTATCTATTGATTAGCTGATTGCTGCTATACTTAGAACAGAAGTCACAGAATGTCAGGGAGAAGAGGGAAAGAGCCAAATCCCTTCTTTCTCAGACAAATTAACTGAAGTGCCTGGTCTGGAGGTCCTAAAACTAGAATATAGCAGAACTTGGACTTGACCACCCTACTTGTCATCTCCATGTACAGGTATGGCATCGGAAGGAGACAGGTGTTACTCCAAAGTGAGGTACAGTAATGCACGTGGGTCAGAGGACAGTGACCCACCCCGGACCCTTCCTGGCATCACCTGATGTACTGTGTAAACAGAGGGCAGTCACAGCTCCCACAGGACAGAGCCTGCCAACCCTGCAACAGTCACAAACTGTGAGCACATTGTTTGCAATAATAGGGAAGAAACAAACAAGAGATACTGTGTAGGGAGCCCAGAGCAGTCTGAGAAGAGCGAGTCAAGAGGGATTAAAGTAGTTTCCTGTCCTGCTTAGATTAGCCACCTCTTAAAAAAAACAAAAACAGGGGCACCTGGGTGGCTTAGTCGGTTAAGCGTCCAACTTTCGCTTAGGTCATGATCTCGCGGTTCGTGGGTTCGAGCCCCGCGTAGGGCTCTGTGCTGACTGCCAGCTAAGAGCCTGGAGACTATTTCGGAGTCTGTGTCTCCCTCNTCTGTGCTGACTGCCAGCTAAGAGCCTGGAGACTATTTCGGAGTCTGTGTCTCCCTCTCTCTCTGACCCTCCCCTGCTCACACTCTCTCTCTCCTAGAAATTAAAAAAAAAAAAAAAAAAAAAAAAAAGAACTCATTATGAGAAGATCTGCTTGGAAAAGGAACCGCTGTCCAGTGGACATTCATGCCTTTTTGGTTTGAAATGTAGCTTTTGTTTAGTTGCAGGTAAGAACTTCCTAAATAGAAGGTCCAACAATTGGTTCTCAATCACTATGGGGCCAGCACAAATCGTGATTTTTTTCCCAGTACCAACTTACCTACAAATACATGGGGTAAGTGCCCCTAACAGTTATCCTCTGTTCCGTGGTCCTCTGTTCTTGTAATGTGCCTTAGATTTATTTACTGTGTCATATACTATACTAAATTAGCGATGCCATCTTAACAGAAGGCAAATAGTTGGCTCTTAAATGTCATTTTAGTAAGAATATGTACAATGATTCATAATGCTTCTCTACTATCACATGCTGTTTTGTTTTAGCTCTTTGCACGCATAAAGTTCAATATGGATAAACTCTTCAAACTGGTTATTTTGACTTGCCCCCAAGAGTTCAGTAACATTAAGAATAGCCTAAAAACAAAAGCATCGTGTGTTGAAATGCATCTACAACTACCCTCTCCATCCTGATTCAGCTGGGATGCAAGTTCGCTTCAACATTCTCACCCACCCACCCACCCCCCCGCGCCCGGCATGGACCTGTCAGCAATGCACCACTGTAGCAAAAATTTGACTGAGTAGGTATGTCACATAGCCATTCCTCCCAATGACCTCTTTCTTCATCAAACATTCACTTAAGTGCCACTTTAGCACAACTGTCCTTAAAGGTATGGGATGCCGAGATACCTCGCCAGTGAGCTCTGAACAGAGAAAATCCACTAGAGCATCAAGTGTTTTCTGAAGTGGTGGAATGAGGGCATCCGTTGTTGTCTTTTCCTCCTAATGCTGCCATTTGTCAGATGTCCCCCATCTGCACTTGAACTGACCACAGCATGCCTTGGTGAGGTGCTCATCTTCATACCATTTTCTCTACTGACAGTCGCGGTGCTATTATTCTCTAGATGGTCTGTGCGCTGATGGATCCTGTGTCCTGAAATTTTTTATATGATGTTGAATCGAGTTCTGCTTTTACTTGGTAACTAGTTTCTATCTCATTAAAGACAAAAGATATTCAGGGGCGCCTGGGTGGCTCAGTGGGTTAAACATCCAACTCCTGGTTTTGGCTCAGGTCATGATCTAGCGGTTCTGGGTTCGAGCTCCACTTCAGGCTCTACTGCATAGAGCCTGCTTGTGCTTCTCTCTCTCTCTCTGTCTCTATCCCCTCCGCTGCTCACTCGCTCTCTCAAAAATAAAATAATTAAAAATATTAAAAATATTTACATATATTTAATTGGTCATACAGCTCCTTCCAGAATAGCTGAATAGGATATGAGCTATTTTGCAAAAAGAAGATTAGAACTTAAAATTCCACTCTCTGAAATGGATGGGAAGGGTAATACCTGTTTCACCTTTACTGACTACAGCAACCCCTCATCACAAAGCCCTTCTTTCTACCCACAGGCCATAGACTTCTAGCCAGCGGACAGTGCTGCGTGTGAGTGGAGAGTGCTTAGCCATGGACTCCCACCCAGAGAAAAAGTGTCTCCTCTTCCCCAGGCTCTAAAACTGGCCCCAAACCTCAAATTCTCAGAGTCCTTGGGATCACCTAGAGACTCCTCACTCCACCACCGCATCCAGGGACAGCACTGAGTCACTCTCCTGCATGCACATCCCTTTGAAGCTACTGCCTTATATGGCTGCAGACCGGGTCTCAGGTCACTTGTTGAAGAAATGCTGAGTGACCATCTCTTAACAAGATCCCGTTTGAAAGCCAAGTCACAGAACCACAAAGTGCTTCCGGGTTGGCCCTTGATGAAGAGATGGCATGGGTACCCTCAGCACGATCTAGGGAGGGGAGCTATCCCTGAAATACTTAAGCACACATACACTGAGACTCTAACACCCAACAATGACACCTCACAATTCTCCTCCATGGGACCTGCATGGTTGCTATGGTTACAAGGTTTTGGTGTTTGTATACACTTGGCCACATTGGCTGTGAGAGACAGAGGCATTTGCATCAACAGCCACACTAGGCATAGCTGAAGAGTTTGCATTTCGCTAGTGGCTACTGGACTTCTAAGTAGCCTATTCTGAAAATCTCAATCATGGGATCCTGGAAAGAATATCTGACTCTAACATCACAGTTTGGGATTTACGTTTGTTACTAACTTGGGCTTTCTAACACAGAGACCCTACCTTTCAACATCTCAACACAGGTATGCAGACTTAGAGCAGACAGAAGAGGTACGGGCAGTGTATTCAATTCAATGGTCAATCATACTTGACTCACGAAACGCACACTGGAAAGCCTAAGAAAGCCAGAAGAAAAAGGCCAGATAGTACTGATTACCTTAGCACTATTGATTGCTCCATGTTTCATGGGGACAAACAAAGGTTTAAGTCAGCAGCTAAGGCCCTTACCATTTTAAAGATTCTAATCACCCAGAGTCTCCAATTTCACCCATTGTTTCTCACTTTCAGAAAGGTGAGAGATTTGCTATATGGCCCACAACGACGTAATTGAACAATGTTTTCACCAGGCTCAACCAGAAAGATGCCCCATTTCCAAAGTCCTTTAAAAAATATCCTCAGATACTTTTCTTGGGCAAAACAAAGCAGTTAGAAAAATATGCGGACTCTTTCGGAACATGGTTGTTGGGAAGGCTCACAGCCAACACACCAGGATATGTCTACAGATTTATTCTTCAGAACAGTCTTGCTTTGAAAAGAGTTGTAGTATTTTTTCTTAGATTGTTTCTCTCATGGTCACTTCAAACATCCAAGGCTTCCTGGTCATAAATGACAATAAAACACATCTCTAAGTGGCTTTCCTGAGCATTTAATATTATTCAAGCTGAATGTGACATACAAGGTCAAATTATGACTTTGATCCTATTAGCACTTGACCTTTCTGAGAAACCTTAGTAATTTTTGCGTGTCTGTAAATGAAGTAAGGAATGTAAAAGCATTTTGTACATCCTAAAGAATTCTAGAAACTAGTCTCAGGATTATGTTTATACATAGAGATAATTATACCCAAATATTAATTATGCATCTTCACTTGTAAATAATCTCCCTCCAAAATATAAGGCTTCCTTTGGCATTACTACTGTGGTCATATGCTGAATTGATAGTCTAATTTTTTTTAGTCGCTCTAACAAAACAGGTGTTAACATTTATTTAAGATTAGTAACTGCCAGGCACTGTTCTAAGCTTTTTACATATGCTTATTTAACTAATCCTTATAATACTGAGGAATACTGAGGCCAGCTAACATTCCTTTTGCAAAGATGAGAACACCCTACGGCAGAGTTTTGGGGTTTGCAAGGCACACAGTACAAGGGGAGACACAGGAACAGAACTCAGAGTTCCAGCTTCTCAGAGGCTGCCATCAAACACACGAAGCCTGGCATCTCCAAAGTGCTACCTTCTCCAAATCAGCACCCCCTGAGCACATGAAAACGCAGATGAATTATTTCCATCATATGCCATGAACTGCCAATCTCAAGAATCAACTAGGTTTCACTTCAGAAAAGTTATTTCCTAATTCAAGTTAATCATGAAGAGCCTTAAGCATGGAATCCTCTGATTGTATTAAGTTGAGCGGCCTCCCACAAATAACCATTTCAGTGTGGGAGAACTAACATGCTAAGTTTTCAGAATTAAATATTCTGCAGCAGCAAACAGGGTGCCCCAGTTGTACTGATGTCAAACACGTTGCTAACACAGTGGCATCGCAGCACCTGTTTTCGGCAACCTCAAGGGGAGGAACTATAGTTAATTCTGGAACAAAGCAGCACAATCTTTAAACTCTGTTTCATCCTCCGGAGGGTCCCATAGCACCCCCAGTGGGCCTGGACCATCTCAGAAGTCCAGCTTCCAGAATAACCTGAGGTTTTAAACTCAATTCCAGAACTTTCCCAGCCATTCTGTCTTCCCAGAGGCTCACGTGAGGGAACACACTCAGTGCAGGGCTGTACTTCCACCAGAATGGAGGTGGGGAGGGAGAGAGAGGCAGGAGTGGGGGGGGACAGAAAGGCTGGACCTCAGTGGGGAGCCAAAATGTGGGCTCCCAGGAGAGAAGAGTGTGCACTTAGACTTAGCTCTGCCTTAAATGTCCCCATGAATTTGTCCAAGACACTTAGGTTCTCTGGATTCAACTAAAAGAAGAGTTATTATAATAAACTTTAAGGTCACTTCAATTTCAACAATCTTACGTTCTGTCTCTACTCTTCTCATCATTGGTCTGATAACAGCTCCTTGCCCTTTTTTCTTCTTTTCCAGATAAACTTTTTTTTGTTTCAATTTCTGAGAGAGAGAGAGAGCGAGAGAGCGAGAGAGAGAGAGAGAGCAGGGGAGGGTCAGAGAGAGAGGGAGACACAGAATCCAAAACAGGCTCCAGGCACTGAGCTGTCAGCACAGAGCCTGACGCGGGGCTCGAACCCACGAACTGTGAGATCATGACCTGAGCTGAAGTCGGACGCTTAACCGACTGAGCCACCCAGGTGCCCCTCCAGATAACCCTTTTGAAGAACTGTTGTTTAATTTTGAGAATTCTGACAGAGTTATCCCCCAAATCAAACATGTAAACATCATTGCTGTAATGTATGCATCTTTTCAGATATTTTTATATGGGCATACAAGTAACTTGCTTTATCCCTACATGAAAACAGAAACAAAATGTCCATGGTATTTTGAATTTTTGACTCAACCTTTTACCTGGGAAACTTTTTTTCAGATAGGCCATATAGTGTGCTGATCAATTTTTTAAGCTATTTTAGGATAATGGACATTTAAGCTGGGTCCAATTTTTCATTGTTAGATGGCTAAAAATGAATAGGCATATACTGCTTCAAAATGTTATTACATTTCTGGGTTAAAATACCTGCTACTTTAGAATTTTGATTGGTATGGCCAAAGTGTGTCCCCCTAATTTTTTCTATATGTACAACAGTGTCCAGACACGGTTTGCCTATCTGCTTGCTAACACAGGGTGTATGAATTGCAGTTTGAGAAATGCATCAGGGTTGGGGGACAGCATCATATAATCCACATTCTCTGGGTCAATAATAAGTTTAGAGATCTTTTCCTACATTTGATATTTATTTTTGCTCTTTCTGCAAAATGCCTATTTATATTTGTTGCCCAATTTTAGTCAGGTCCTAGACCCTTTGCTTACTGACTTTATGATGCTCTTTCTATATTAACGTGTTTCTAGGAGAGATTTTTAAGGTGGCTGCCACGATCCCCACCTCTGATGTTTATGCCCCTGTGTAATTCTCCTCCCCTTGAAGAAGGCAGGGTCTGGGTCTTGCTTCTAATCGAGAAAATAGGGTAAACACGATGGAGTACATGGGATCATGCATCCATGATTATGTGATTGCATGTAATACTGTAGCACCCTATTTTCCTTAGTCTCTCTCTCCTTTGCTGGCTTTGAGCCATGCTGGGAAGCCCCACGTGGGCAGCGTCTAGGAACTGAGGGTGAGTTCTGGACAGTGGCCAGCAGTAAACTTAAGCTCTCAGCCCCACAAGCACAAGGAATGGACCTCTGCCAGTGCCTGAGTCATCCTAGACGTGGGTCCTGCTTCCCCAGCTGAGCTCCAGATGCAAATGAAGGCCCAGCCCACCCCATGACGAGAGCCTGGGAGAGCATCACCAGAGGACCTGTGTGACCCAGATGAGCTGTGCACAGACCACCAGGAAGCCAAAGATCATGAGGGTGTGCGGTTTCAGCTGCTGGATTTGTGGCAGTAACATGACGCTGTGATAGACAGCTCATACAAACAGTGCTGAAATGGACTTCCCTCCAGTGCATCCTTGACAACCCTGCTTTCTAGATCTTTTTCTTAAAAATGTTTCTTTATTCATTTCTTTTTGATCAGGAAAGGGACAGAGAAGGGGTCGGGGAGAGAATGCCAAGCAGGCTCCATGCTGTCATGATCTGAGCCAAAATCAAGAGTCGGATGCTTAACCGACTGAGCCACCCAGGCGCCCTTGTTTTCTAGCTCTTTCTATTCCTGGGGGGTGTCTATTCTTGCAGAGGAGAAATGTGGGAAACATAGGACAACGTAAAATGTTCTTGCCATAAATGCCTCTGGCTTTCTGTCTGTATCCCTCCTTAATTTGGGTCAAAGGATGAGTAGTCATTAAGGGGCATAAAAAATACTATGGTCGGTGGTGTTGTGTGGTGACAGATGGCGGCTACAACTGTGGTCAGCACAGCATAACAGCTAGAGCAGCCGAATCACCAAGCTGTACACCTGAAACTGATGTAACACTCTGTGCCAACCATCCTCAAACAATTAATTAAAATAAAAGAATTCAAAAACAAAAGGCATAAAACAGTGGCTCAAATAGCATATTCTGGTTTTAAGGCTGCAGTAAATGACACGAGATCTCTACCTTAAGGTCCTTTTTTTCTTGTTCTTCTCACAGGAACCGTTCGTAAACATAAAAGAGAAGTCACCTCACAGAAGAAAGGATAGTCACTCCACTTGGTCATATAACGCTTTATTTTTTTTAACCAGCTCTTTTTAAAAGGCCTCTTACTGCCCATCCATCAGAAAACTGAAAGAAAAACACCTAGGCCGGGAGGTATACATCATACCCCAAAGTTTCGTGTGGCTACAGTGTTTGTATCTGCAGGTCAGAACACCCCTCGTCTTTTAAATATCCTGGCAGCATGTACCTTCTGGTTTTCAAAATGCCACTGAAGAACACGAGAAAGGTAATTTTGTAATTGCAGTAAAAAAAGAAAGAGACTGATAAGTTCTTCTTTGTTCCATAACCATCTTATGTAATTCTTTTAAATTAAAAAGCTGAGAC